GGAGGGCCGTTAGGGTCTTCACGGTTCTGGAAGACAGGAATGACGACGTCGTCTTTGAGACCAGGTTCGCCTTGTTGACCCTTGATGGAACTGCCATTGACAGCAAGGTCGCCGAGGTAAGCCAGAAGTTTCTGGGCACGGTTCTGACTTTGCACAAGTTTGAAGAGCTCGGGGGTGTCGTCGATGAAGGTGGTCCAAGTCTTGCCGCCAATGAACACATCGTGCGTCAACAGACGGAACAAGAAAGGGATGTTCGTCTTGACACCACGGATACGGAATTCGACCAACGCCCTCAGCATCTTCCTGCGAGCGACCTCATATGTAGCACCACTGACACTGCATTTGACGAGCAAGCTGTCATAGTGAGGCGTAATCTGGGCACCAGCAAAGCCAGAGCTCGCATCGAGACGAACACCGTTTCCACCGGCACTGCGGTAGACTTCAATTTTACCGGTATCTGGCTGGAAGTTCTGGGCGGCATCTTCGGTCGTGATACGACACTGAATAGCAAAGCCTCGCTTGGTGATGGCATCCTGAGTCAGGCCAAGCTGAGGGAGAGAGGCACCAGCAGCAATCTGGATCTGAGCAGCGACGATGTCGATACCAGTGATCTCCTCTATATGCATTGGGTGATAGTGAGAATGAAGAGCTTGAGCAAAAAAGACGATGATACGTACCAGTGATGGTGTGCTCGACCTGAATACGGGGGTTGATTTCAATGAAGTAGTGGCGGCCCATCTGGTCTACCAAGAACTCGGCTGTTCCAGCATTCCTGTAGCCAACGCTTTTCGCAAGCTTGATAGCATCGGCCAAGATGGCCTGGCGCACTTCCTCAGGGAGGTGAGTGGCAGGAGCGACCTCAACGACCTTTTGGTGGCGACGCTGGACAGAGCAGTCACGCTCGAAGAGATGGATAGTGTTTCCCTGAGCATCAGCTAGGAGCTGGACCTCGATGTGACGAGGGCGCTCAAGGAATCGCTCAATGAAGACCGTCCCGTCACCAAAGGCAGACTTGGCCTCACTGACAGCTCGCTCGAAAAAGTCCTTGAAGTCAGACTGCTCACGGACGACACGCATACCGCGTCCTCCACCTCCCATGGCAGCCTTGATGATTACTGGACGGCGGCTTTCGGTTTGAATTCTAGTAGAGACTGGTTTGATGCAAAATCACTCACCCGGGAACCCGTATTCTTGAATGAATGCGTCTGCCTCCGTGTAGGATGCGACAGCACCAGGTGTACCAGGGACAACCGGTACTCCAATCTTGATGGCTGTGAGTGTACAGAGTAAGACTCCGTATAGCATGCATATATGCACATAAGAAAGCACATACCAATGGTGCGGGCCTTTGTCTTGTCACCGAGAGCATCGATAACTTCCGGGCTAGGACCAACGAAGGCTAATCCAGCCTGCTCAACCTTGCGTGCAAACTCTGCGTTCTCAGAGAGGAAACCATATCTACGCGCACGACATCCGATTAATGGGAGAACTTTCCGCTTTCCGATATTCTGCTTACCCAGGGTGGATCATGTCCACTCCGTGTTCAAGAGCGATCCTGATGATATCCTCTTGGGCAAGGTAGGCACCAACAGGTGTAAGGCCTTTGCCAACTTGATAAGCCTCATCGGCCTATGCACAACATCAATGAACTGCGCATATAGGGATCGTGACCAAGGCTGACCTTTTGACGATGGGCAGAGAGTCGATCCTCGAAGGAGAAGATGGCGACGGTGTGCATAGCAAGCTCGTGCGCCGTGCGGAATACACGGATGGCGATTTCCTAATCATAGACATCGAGAACGCGTTCTCAGTACCGCGATAACATACAAACCATATCAGCCAAGAACGTACACCACGGTTAGCTACGAGGATCTTGGTCAGAGGGCCAGAGTGGCCTGCCGATTTCCTGCGCATTGTCTGAATAGAATGCACTGGTGTGCCCGGCGCACTAGGCGTGCCCGCGAACATGGCCGCGAGTCGTGGAGGGTGCAACGTCGTTCCAGATGCCGCCATGGTAGGGGTTACTGGTCAAGTTTGGTTACAAGTAGAAAAGGTTGGGGTGGTGGCTCTGAGATCGATGGCGGGGCTTTGATGTGACTCTAATCTACGAACGTTTTCACGCGCGACTACGCGACAAAGTGGGGAGCGGAAGCAAAGCGTGGTCTAACTCGGACGCGAGAGCCGATGAGCTCGAGGGTGTCTCCCTTTGAAATATCTCCTCGTCGAGGGCGTGGAGAAAGGTTCAAGGGGGTTAGAAGGAAGCTGAGAGGTTGCGGCCTCTGGCTCATATAGTACTAGCGGCATTGACCGCGAAGACAGCGTCACCGCTCTGCCAAAATGTCTTCTATCCGCAGACTCTTTACGGCGATAGCGCGGATCGTCCGCTCAGTGTCCACCGCATGACCCCACCGAATGCCCACAGACGCAGTACATACTCGGCGCATACATCCACAAATGTGCAAAACGGATGCTGGAGTTCACGAGGACGACTTGGAGGGGGAACACTTCAACGCTTAGCAAGGCCCGTGCCCACCGATACAACAGGTTTGGTGCGACATTACTTCCCGCTCTAATAGTTTCTCTCACCTCTCACTTCAGAGGGGGTAAACAGGGCGTATCACTGTGTCCGAACGGAGATCCTATCCCGATGGGAGCGTTTATATTAATTATATCCAATCTACATTCCACGGTCAAGACAGCAAGTGTCCAGCAGTCAAAACACCCTGCCAGTCGCAGACCCTTCATTATGGCTTCCGGGTCATCGGAAGAACCGCCGGCTGGCTGGCAGCATCTGCTTTCTTTTGGTTGTTCTTCGCCACGGCGTACACAAGCCCCGCAAAGAAGCCAACTGAGATCGCTGAGACAGAGCCAACTGTAACAGGGTCCCCAAAGAAAATCATGCCAGACGCTGCTACGGGGAGTTTGTTCAAGGCACCAACCATACTGTAAGCGTAGGAAATGAGGTTCAATAAAGTTTAGTCTAAATCTTGTTTGATCCTCTCACCTGTATGTCGTGCTGCTCGTGACTCGCACGCACCAAGCAGTCGTGTAAGAAATTCCCACTGCAGCGGCACCGGAGAACGCAATAGCGAATAACAGGAAGTTGCGGGTCGCCTCCGGGCTAGAATCCAGTCAGCATTAGTTTTCAAAACTCTAAACCGTGGACTGAACTCACAAATTCTTCATCAAATTCTCTGAGCTCCAGTCCTCTGCAATCAACGAGAAAACGGCTAGGACAGGAATAGAAAGCAAGTTGTTGTAAAACATCGAGTCCCAATCGGAGAATCCGGTGCTTTTAATCCTTTTGCGCATGGCCAAGACCTAATCAGAAGTTAACGGTGAGTGACGTCGAACCTTGACACCCATGCATGGAAGCATACGTATGCTGCACTCGTTAAGCAGTTTACAAGCATCCAGAAATATCCAACGTTCATGTTTGATACGATGCCTGATACCGAGGAAAGTGCCCAACCCTGGCTCTCTGCCACCGCGGGGTCCCCAAGAGTGAGAGAATCACTGATATCTGCCCACGCAGCTATAACCGATGAGAACACCTAGGATAGTCCAACTTAGATCGCAGCGAGCGAGCAATAATAATTTGAAACTCACCATGAAGAAGAATGAGACAAGCGTCAGGCCGGTGACGCGACCCCCGAACCAAATAACTTCGCCATACGCCTGCCATTCATTCAATCATACTGCCAGAGCACAAAATAGACGGAGACGCACGATAAGAATTATCGTCAGATTCTTGAAGATGGTGTACACCGGTATATTCAAATATTGCTGTCGAGATCAGTTACTTATCAGCCAATGTGCCATCATCCCGGTCTATAGAATCCCATACGCCGCTCAAATCCCACCGACGACCATACGAAGGCGGCGCCTTCCAAGATAGATTGAAGCATGTTACTCACCAGACTCTTGGAACCCGTATATATCACACTGACAAGCAAGAAACTGATAGGGAACCACGCCTTGGCGTCTTTTGTGTCGAATTCCCGAAATGATATCACACCCAGTTTCTTGACGGTCGCCACGCAAGAGACGCAGACGGTGGATTGAATACAAAGCAGGAGGAAGTTCATGTTGAAATTGCTGCCTGAGACAACAAACTAGTATGTGCATATCAACAGTTGGTTAGCATGGTGAATGTTATACGTGGGGTTTGGGGGTACCTTGTTTACAACAGTCATCAGGATAGATGCAACGCAATAGCATACAATTGGTGGTACTATGCACGGATTAGCAATGTATGGAATTCTCGCTATAGGAACTAGTTCACTCACGAGCAGACACGGGGGGAGCCTCCTTTGTCCCCGTAGCGATAGCCTTCTTCATCTCAACAACATCCTCTTCAGGCTCCTGGCTCTCTCTCCTCGATAAAGACATGATTGATTATGCACTAGATTCTGACAGTGCTGTCTGTATGTCTGGGAATTCAATAGACAACGGCTGAGGCGGTTGCGGTACACACGATAGGAAGCAAAGAGCGGATAAAGAGGGACAGGTGGGCTGAAAGCCGATAACTATCGCGCTCCCGGCCAAGTCTGAGGTAGGCGAAAGGAGGAGGAGAACAGAGATTACAGCTGAGCAGCCTAGGCTGGCGAAGTAGTTATTGGCCGAATTGAAGCTGGAAAGTTGGACCATGTGAAATGGGCGTTTGGTTTTGCCGCTCGTTCTTCGAATGTGACGACCACCTCCTGTCGCATCGCTCTAGAGAACACGAAAGGCTATCAGATACTTTGGTAATGCAGTGTGTAGAACTCGAAAACAACATTAGCGATACAAGGGGAAAATTCTTCTGTATTCCCTTCACCCTTTAGATAAAAAACAACACGTCTTAGTTGTAAACTTATCGTTTACTCTTTATAAACTGTTTGCAACCCTTTCTCTTTATTTACGGCATCAGTGAAAAGGTAAAGTAAAGGGTTGGAGCCTTGAACACTGTATTATTACGATTTACTATGAATAAGTAAAAAGGTAAAATTGAAAACAGACTCTTTGACAGGGAATCGAACCCTGCTTTCGCGCGATATTACACAAGAAGTGCGACAGGCGCGTGTACTAACCAATATACTATCAGGGAATGACTGGATCTCCCATCAACATATCTTGGAGTAAATGTGTGGCGACCAGGCCACGCGAGGACGCGACGGATTTGGACGCGACTGTTCTTGTGCTGCTCTGGACTGTTTGCGACATGTCTCGCCGTCGTCTCCCACCCTCGGACGCTCGCACAACAAAAGCCAATAACATTCTTGCAGACATCGTCTTGAGAACACCCTACATCCCGAGTCACAACCACAGGCCCACCGTAGACGACCATGCACAACCTGCCGAAAAGTCGACCAGTCAATATGCTACTCTACTCACTTCTCTCGTAGATTTTTCGTTTATACTTTCTCTCGTCTTTGGTGGTTGCTGCGCGTGAGTGCGACTACTTCATCATAAGCCTGGCATAAAATAAATATTTGTGATAGAAATGTATGGGCGTACGAATATCTGCTCAATATTGACTCTCGGATAGGTTCAGACAACCTCTTCACTCTCTTATATACTTTCCTAACCCTCTAATTTATGCAGGAACAGCACTGACATTCTCTCAAATGACTTTTATTACCCTCCATTCTCTGCCCTCTTTCCTCCATCTTACGTACCTCTCCGTACCTCTCCCCATTGCCTTCCCCAAACAGATTCTCATCCCAATACCTCATCTTAAATCTCGCCAGGTACCCCTCTCCCAGTGGGCACTCCAGGTTTGCGTTCTAACAACAGGTTCCCTGTTGAACAACTGGGCGTTCGCGTTCAGTGTCCCCTTGACAGTGCAAATCGTATTCCGCTCAGCTGGTACGCCGGCCACGGTATGAATATATCCCATATACCATCTTACTTTGTTATGGAATGCTTAGGATTGGCAGTGTCAATGCTGTTTGGGAGACTCTTTCTCAACAAGCGATACTCGTATCCACAGATCGTACGCCGCTTCCCTTGTCACCTTGGGTCGAAAATATCAGGTCTCGCTCATTGTTTTCATCTGTCTCATTCAGGCCTCGGTCCTTCTCGTTACCTTTGGCGTCATCCTGGCTACCACATCCCGTCCTTCTTCTCCTCCGCCGTCGTCTGGAACCACACCAGATCCAGTAGACTACACGGAATATAGCCTAGGTATCCTCATGCTCTCGCTGTCTCTCCTCCTCTCCGGCGTCCTTGGTATGCTCCAAGAACGTACTTATACCACCTACGGTCCCTGTTGGCGCGAAGGCGTATTCTATACTGTGCGTCCTCCCAATCCTAATATTCTCAGTAGTAAATGTGCCCTCCCCATTTATACCGTCCCTTTTCTGTATCACCCTTTCCTGATATTCTCATTTTTCTATCACGCCTGGTTCAACCCTCGTCTTCCGCCTTTCCTCAGTAGTCGTTCTACCACCTCTCGACTTACCGCTAAATTGTTCCCCCACAGCACGCCCTGTCCCTCCCTATATTCGTATTCCTCGCCCCACAAATACGAATGGGGTTCACAAATCTCACACGCGCATCCTCCGTCCCCCCTCTTTCATCTCTTCTCTCATCCCTGTTACGGCAAGACGCCCCACTAACACCCACACGCACTTCTCCGTCTTCTCCGCTCCCATTATTCGATAAATTCACTGAATATCAGGGCAGTAACACCATGAAGGCGACGCTCGCCTTCGATACGCTGAGAGGTCTTTCGCCGTACCTCACCCTCCTCGCAAACCTCGCTACCCAACTCGTATGTGTCTCTGGCGTGAACCAACTTACATCCGTACGTCCCATCGTTGCATCCGGTGACAGAACAGCTAACTCTTCGCGTTCCCTAGCGTGTATCCTCTGTATCGACCAACCTAGTTCTCACCACTCGCAAAGCCCTCTCACTTCTGTTCAGCGTTTGGTGGTTTGGCAACGGCTGGAATGACCAGCTCGGTTTGGGCGCCGGCTTTGTCTTTGCCGGGAGTATCATCTACACCACCGTCGCCTCGGCCAGTTCCAACTCCACTTCTACTAAACCCTCCTCTGCAGAGAACCCCGCCGGGTTAAATAGCCCTGGTAATGTAAAGACAGAATCTCCAACCCCAGCTCGGACTATCCCTATCAAGAGGGAAGACTCTATCCGCATACCCTTCACTCCACCGCAACCGAACCAGAAGGCAAATTGGAAGGAAGAAGACACAGACGACGACGACAATACCAACACCAATGGGCCAGGGGGACACAACATGTTGACAAGACGACGCGTGCACAAGATGGAGTTTGCAGAAACAGAGCTGGACTTGGACGATGGGCTGCGCGGTGGGCCGGTCAAAGTCAGAACGGAGACTCGTCGTCTACCGTACGCAAACTACACCCCGCCACAGAGCGACGAGGAGGAGGATCGAGGGGACGGTGTCGGGAGGGGACGAGCAAGGGCCAGAGGACGAGGACGGGGCAGACCGAGGGGGAGAGCAAGGGCCAGAGGGCGAGCCTCGTGAGCTTTATAACGGCACGGGAGTGAGGCGAGGCGAGGTGCTACCGACACTGACCGGTGACGACAGTGGGTGGACCACGTTGATGAGATGATTGTACAAGTTGGTACCGGAATCGCCGGGTTTATGGGTGAGCACTGGATGCCTTCCGTTGTATGTACGTATATATATGTACGAATGGTTACTGTTGTATTTGGATCACTGTTAAATTGAGCGGATGGGGTCGGTCTGCCACAGTCGTGATCTGCAATCATGATGGTCCGTCCGCTTCCCAGATGTTACGCAGACGACGACCGTTGGAAGACAGATCGTATTGCACACGAGTAGTTAGAGGGTTTAGGACTGACTTCTTATCCACAAAAAACACAAAGCAAAATACAGGAGGCCACTAATTACCAAATGAGGGGGCGAATATATGCGTAAGATAAATCGGACACTATGGGTTCAACTATCGAAACAGACATAACGGTATGACCGTATGAAGAAAGAAAGAAGGGCGAGGGGAGATTGCTAGGTCCGATACGAACAGACATGGATAGGGACACAGAGAGTAAGACAGGGGATGAGACACTATCGAACCATTGTGGAAGCATCCTGAGAATTGCCGTCGGAATCGGAGGGGGCAAAGACCAGTGCAGAAGGGAGCGTAACGTCGCGCGGAAGCGAGCATGAGGTATCATGAGAGAAGGCGTGATGCGGGTTGACCATAGTAAGAGACGGGGCGCATTGTTGATCGAGATAGAGGTATGGATGAGAGTGCCACGAAAAGAAAAGAGAAAAAAGGAGATAATTATGCCGGGTAGGGGAATAAGGGGTAGGTATATGTTTTAACTGGCCGCAAGCGGGAAGATATGGAGCGTACAATAGACCACCGCACCGGGCTCGCGCGGGAGTGAGCCGCAAAAATCCAAGAGTTCCGTGAGCATGGGGCTTAAGCAATGTCCCAAAGAGAGAACGAAATCAAAGAGCACCGTCGTCATTAGCAGGCATAGGCCTTCTCGTTGTCAATTTCGTCCATGGGAATCGCCCGTGAGTCCATCTCGATGGTCTCGTGCGATGGCTTGTGGCCGTAGTTGTCACTGTGGACAATGTCCGCATCCCCGGATATCGTTGCAGGTGTCACGGGTCGAGACGACACGACACCCGTGGACGAAGTGGCAGTGACGGTCGAGACAATTTGCTGGTTCTGCGGATAATATGACCGACGTTGCATCTTCTTGAAATCATACGACGCGAATCTGGGTTGGCAATGTCAAAAAAGATAATTCAGGGGAAGGGGTACGCGCGACTTACTGCTCCTCCATCTGTCTCATCTCCACGCTGAGATTATTGATGTCTTGCACTTTGCGCTGCCGGGCTTTGAGCGGGTTATCCTCCAGCAATAGCTCTTCAAGCTCGTGGGATGCATCAAAGTTCGCTTTCTTAGACTGCACACGAGGCAACACCAGAAAACGAGGGCCATCAAAACGTCAGCACGTGGACCGGGGAAATAAGAGTGATACATACGTCTGGTATAAACGGTGGCGTTTGCTCCTTGGTTTCCAGTGTCTCCCAGTCTATGCATTGGAACCATGGATGTTGACGAAGTTCTGCAAAACCTTCGCCATTCGGTTTGCACCCCAGCCTCCGCACGGCATCACGATCGAGGAACTTTATAGAGTATGAGCGTCAGTCAAATGGGATCAGGAATTTACATCAGGAGGCCACCATCAGGCCATCCATCTATCTGGAAACGACTCGAGGTACGAGCAGACGCCCATACTCGTACCTCCGACAAGGAAATGGCATCGGGACAGCGAATGTACTCACAGCTCTGAGTGCCTGTAGCCCTGCCCTACTGCATTTGGACTCCGCATCCTCGGGGAAGCGTAAGTGGTCCTTTGAGATGCTGTGCGTGAGATCACTATTTGTCTTGCCGCGGAAAGGCCTGCGTCCAAATATGAGCTCGTATGCGCAAACACCCAGTGACCACCAATCAACGGTGTATGTGTATCCACGCTTTGCAAGGATCTCAGGAGCCATATATGCCATGGATCCTGCTACCCCGGTCAACAAACGCCGTTCGGAGTAATGGACAGCAATGTTGAAATCGGTGATATGTGCATGTCCACGTTCATCTAGTAGAATGTTATCTGGTTTGAGATCCCTATGATGGATTGAGCGAAGATGAGCTCAAAGTATCAGTCGCTGTCACAATAACCGACCTGTGGATGATGCGCTTGTCGTGAAGCCATGAAAGTGCAGACCCAATCTCTGCGACGTAGAAGCGAACGGTATCCTCGGAAAGGGATCCTAACCTCTCCAAATGGACTTGACATGGGGGGGTTAATGAACAGAAATAAACAACGTAAAACGTGTGCAGCGTACATCGTAGGTCCCCACCCAGCATGAGATCCAATACAAAGAAACAGTTCTCGTCGTCCTGGAACGCATATCGAAGATTCACGACGAATGCGTGGTCAATCTACAGGCGGAATAGGCCTTGAGATGATGCATGGCATGAGGTGAGAGGCTACGAACCTCCTCCAATAGCCTTCGCTCTTGTACAATGTTCGCGACGGCCTTCATCTTGACACATTTGGTCTTGTTGATGTACTTCAAG